GTCATCCAACGCCATATTGCTTGAACCTCCTCCCTCTTCCTAGCCTTCTATCCTCCATCCAGGACAGATTCGAGCCAGCCAGCGGCCGCGGTGAAGGACCACCCCCTGCGCACCCTCTATGGTGTCGAGAAAGTGCCACGCCTGCTATGCCCTGGACGACCGTCGTGCATGGCGGCTGCGGTGAGGGACCACCCCCTGCGCAGCCTTTATGGTGTCGAGAAAATGCCGCGCCTGCTATGCCCTGGACGACCGTCGTGCATAGCGGCCGCGGTGAGGGACCACCCCGGTGAGAGACCACCCCCTGCGCACCCCCTCTGGTGTCGAGAAAGTGCCACGCCTGCTAGGCCCTGCGACATTGGCGCGTATAGAGCCCGCGGTGAGAGACCACCCCCTGCGCACCCCCTGTGGTGTCGAGAAAGTGCCACGCCTGCTGTGCCTGGACGACCGTCGTGCATAGCGGCCGCGGTGAGAGACCACCCCCTGCGCACCCCCTGTGGTGTCGAGAATGTGCCACGCCTGCTGTGCCTGGACGACCGTCGTGCATAGCGGCCGCGGTGGGAGACCACCCCGTGCGCACCCCCTGTGGTGTCGAGAAAGTGCCACGCCTGCTGTGCCTGGACGACCGTCGTGCATAGCGGCCGCGGTGGGAGACCACCCCCTGCGCACCCCCTGTGGTGTCGAGAATGTGCCACGCCTGCTGTGCCTGCACGACCGTCGTGCATAGCGGCTGCGGTGAGAGACCACCCCCTGCGCACCGCCTGTGGTGTCGAGAGTGTGATAGAATGTGCCACGCCTGCTGTGCCTGGACGACCGTCGTGCATAGCGGACGCGGTGAGAGACCACCCCCTGCACAGCCCCTGTGGTGTCGACAATGTGCCACGCCTGCTGTGCCTGGACGACCGTCGTGCGTAGCGGCCGCGGTGAGAGACCACCCCATGCGCACCCCCTGTGGTGTCGAGAAAGTGCCACGCCTGCTGTGCCTGGACGACCGTCGTGCATAGCGGACGCGGTGAGAGACCACCCCCTGCGCACCCCTGTGGTGTCGAGAATGTGCCACGCCTGCTGTGCCTGGACGACCGTCGTGCATAGCGGCCGCGGTGAGAGACCACCCCCTGCGCACCCCCTGTGGTGTCGAGAAAGTGCCACGCCTGCTGTGCCTGGACGACCGTCGTGCATAGCGGACGCGGTGAGAGACCACCCCCTGCGCACCCCCTGTGGTGTCGAGAAAGTGCCACGCTGAGGTGAGACGCGGGTGCGCCGCGGCAGGGAAGAAAACCATAACCCCACGAAACATGTGGGGAATGCCACGCCGGTGCTGTGATGTGCTGTGTTGTGTGCTGTGCTGTGTTGTGCTGTGCTGCGGTGAGCTGTGCTGTGCTGTGCTGTGCTGAGCTGAGCTGAGCTGCGCTGTGCTGTGTTGAACTGAGCTGTGCTGTGCTGTGCTGTGTGCTGTGCTGCGGTGAGCTGTGCTGTGCTGCGCTGTGCTTTGCTGTGCTGAGCTGAGCTGAGCTGTGCTAAGCTGTGCCGTGCTGAGCTGAGCTGAGCTGTGCTGAGCAGTGCTGTGAGGAGGGGAGGTGTGAGGTGAGACGCGGGTGCGCCGCGGCAGGGAAGAAAACCAGAACCCCACGAAACATGTGGGGAAGAAAACCAGACCCCCATTACGCTACCGAGGAACCCCACATACTTATTATGGCTGGAGTGATGATGGCTGGCATGAAGCATGTGAGAATGAGGTTGGTGGCCGATGCCCCGCCGATACCGTTGGTGACGCCACTCAAGAGGAGAGGTGAAGAGGAGAAGCGCCGCGCCAGCCACACTTTGCGAGCCCGAAACAGAGAGCGACCGCACCCCGAAGGCACCCCCTTGTAGGCCACGCCGGCTAGGCCCTGCGACATTAGCGCGTATAGAGAGCCTGCGACATGGGCGCGTATAGAAAGACCACCCCCTGCGCACCCCCTCTGGTGTCGAGAAAGTGCCACGCCTGCTAGGCCCTGCGACATGGGCGCGTATAGAGAGACCACCCCCTGCGCACCCCCTCTGGTGTCGAGAAAGTGCCACGCCTGCTAGGCCCTGCGACATGGGCGCGTATAGAGAGACCACCCCCTGCACACCCCCTCTGGTGTCGAGAAAGTGCCACGCCTGCTAAGCCTTGCGACATGGGCGCGTATAGAGAGACCACCCCCTGCGCACCCCCTCTGGTGTCGAGAAAGTGCCACGCCAGCTAGGCCCTGCGACATGGGCGCATATAGAATAAACGCCCCGCACGGGGACCATTCCCTGCGCACCCCCGGTGGTGTCGAGAATACGCCGTGCCTGGCATGCCCTGCGCCATGGCCCGCATAGACGCCGCGCTCGGAGACCACCCCCTGCGCACCCCCTACGGGGCGAGGAAAGTGCCACACCTGCCACGCCCTGCGCCATGGCCCGCATAGACGCAGCGCTCGGAGACCACCCCCTACGCACCCCCTACGGGGTGAGGAACGTGCCACACCTGCCACGCCCTGCGCCATGGCCCGCATAGACGCCGCGCTCGGAGACCACCCCCTCGCACCCCCTACGAGGTCGAGAAAGTGCCACACCTGCCACGCCCTGCGCCATGGCCCGCACAAACGCCGCGCTCGGAGACCACCCCCTGCGCACCCCCTACGAGATCGAGAAAGTGCCACGCTTGCCACGCCCTGCGCCATGCCACGCCCTGCGCCATGCGCCCCGCATAGACGCCGCGCTCGGAGACCACCCCCTGCGCACCCCCTACCGAGAAAGTGCCACACTGCCACGCCCTGCGCCATGGCCCGCATAGACGCCGCGCTCGGAGACCACCCCCTGCGCACCCCCTACGAGGTCGAGAAAGTGCCACACCTGCCACGCCCTGCGCCATGGCCCGCATAGACGCCGCGCTCGGAGACCACCCCCAGCGCACCCCCTACGAGGTCGAGAAGTGCCACACCTGCCACGCCCTGCGCCATGGCCCGCATAGACGCCGCGCTCGGAGACCACCCCCTGCGCACCCCCTACGGGGTGAGGAAAGTGCCACACCTGCCACGCCCTGCGCCATGGCCCGCATAGACGCCGCGCTCGGAGACCACCCCCTGCGCACCCCCTACGGGGCGAGGAAAGTGCCACACCTGCCACGCCCTGCGCCATGGCCCGCATGGACGCCGCGCTCGGAGACCACCCCCTGCGCACCCCGATACGAGGTCGAGAAAATGCCACGCCTGCCACGCCCAGCGCCATGGCCCGCATAGACGGCGCGCTCGGAGACCACCCCTTGCGCACCCCCTACGAGGTCGAGAAAAGTGCCACGCCTGCCACGCCCTGCGCCATGGCCCGCATAGACGCCGCGCTCGGAGACCACCCCCTGCGCACCCCCTACGGGGTGAGGAAAGTGCCACACCTGCCACGCCCAGCGCCATGGCCCGCATCGACGCCGCGCTCGGAGACCACCCCCTGCGCACCCCCTACAGGGTGAGGAAAGTGCCACACCTGCCACGCCCTGCGCCATGGCCCGCATAGACGCCGCGCTCGGAGACCACCCCCTGCGCACCCCCTACCGAGGAAAGTGCCACACCTGCCACGCCCTGCGCCATGGCCCGCATAGACGCCGCGCTCGGAGACCACCCCCTGCGCACCCCCTACGGGTGAGGAAAGTGCCACACCTGCCACGCCCTGCGCCATGGCCCGCATAGACGCCGCGCTCGGAGACCACCCCCTGCGCACCCCCTACGAGGTCGAGAAAGTGCCACACCTGCCACGCCCTGCGCCATGGCCCGCATAGACGCCGCGCTCGGAGACCACCCCCTGCGCACCCCCTACGAGGTCGAGAAAGTGCCACACCTGCCACGCCCTGCGCCATGGCCCGCATAGACGCCGCGCTCGGAGACCACCCCCTGCGCACCCCCCTACGAGGTCGAGAAAGTGCCACACCTGCCACGCCCTGCGCTATGGCCCGCATAGACGCCGCGCTCGGAGACCACCCCTGCGCACCCCCATACGAGGTCGAGAACGTGCCACACCTGCCACGCCCTGCGCCATGACCCGCATAGACGCCGCGCTCGGAGACCACCCCCTGCGCCCCCCTACGAGGTCGAGAAAGTGCCACACCTGCCACGCCCTGCGCCATGGCCCGCATAGACGCCGCGCTCGGAGACCCCCCCTGCGCACCCCCTACGGGATCGAGAAAGTGCCACACCTGCCACGGCCTGCGCCATGGCCCGCATAGACGCCGCGCTCGGAGACCACCCCCAGCGCACACCCTACGAGATCGAGAAAGTGCCACACCTGCCACGCCCTGCGCCGTGGCCCGCATAGACGCCGCGCTCGGAGACCCCACCTCAGCCGTGCTGTGCTGCGCCGTGCTGTGCTGCGCTGTGCTGTGATGTGCAGCTGTGTGCTGTGCTGAGCTTTGCTAGGTTGTGCTGTGCTGTGCTGTGATGCGCTGCGCTGTGTTATGCTGTGCTGCTTGAGAAGGAAAGGAGGCAGGGAGGGAGGCGAGGTGAGAGCCGCGGGTGCGACGCGTGTGGGTGAGGAAAGGAGAAGAGGGAAGAAGGGAAGAAGGAGGTGAGTGAGTGAATGAGCGTCGCGGGTGGGACGCGGCAGGGAAGAACACCATAACGCCACGAAACATGTGGGGAACTAGGTAAGCATGTGGGGAACAAACATGCTGATGGTACGAGTAATCAATAGACAAAGCTACGAAGGGGTCTATAAGTAACACCCAGAAGACGTAGGATGAAGTGGGAGAGAAATAAGAAGAACAAAACGAATCCTGATAATAAGAAGTGAGGAAATAATGATACGAATCAGAAGCATAGTACCAAGAGAAAGAGGGGGCACTGCCATGCACGATGGCCATCCTCGCCCGCCGCCCTGGGCGCCCTGTAGCGCCGAGGATCGCCCCGCCAGAAGAGATGGGAGAAAAGGAGAAAAAGGAAACGCAGCCGTGGGACATCATCAACAGGAAGAAAGAGGAGGAGGAGGAGGAGGAGGAAGATGAGGAGGAGAGGGAGGATAAAGCCAGGCGCCAGCGCGCAGACGCCTCGTGCTGATAAGATTGCTCGTGCGAACTCTCCGCTCCTGCTGTCAGGAGGTCGGGAGGGTGGTATTGTCGGGGAGGCGCCCGCTGCGGTTGAGCGGCTCTGAGCCTCGGCCGCGCGCGCGGCCCATGCGGCAGATCACCCGCCGAGGCTGTGCTGATCTCCAGCCCCTCGAGCGAGCGAGTGCACGCTGGCGGCGCGCACTGGGGGGAAGGGGCGGCGCGAGGGGCCACCAGCTAGTGGGCAGAAAATCCACCCCGATGATAACCGCCCCGACACGCGAAGCCGTCAAGTAAACGCACCCAGAGGAGGACTCAAACAGGGCAGGGCTGTTTAGTAAACGCCCACGGCCGTTTCATAAACGCCTGTTGCCTGGTCTGGGTGGTTTTTCCTCCCTTGAACCAGACCTCCAGAGGCTCGAGGGCAACGAGCCTGCGGCTTTCCTTGAGGGGCGACGACAGAGGGGCATAGGCATAAGGTGGGGATGCATCGACTTCGGATGGCCGACACATCTCCCGTGCATCGTGGATACGTCGTCGATGCAGACCGCCCCATGCATCGTCTCTGCATCGTCGATATACCACCCTGATATCAACCATTCGAGGTCGATGCATCGTCGATGCATCCACCACTCGAGGTCGGTGCATCCCCCCTGTGCCAATCCCCCCCCCTCTCTTGGCATAGCTCGGACGTCCATTCCCCGTGCACGTTTCCGTTTCGCTCGTGCTCTTTTCGCAGGATGATCCTCACGGGTCTTCTCCGACAAAAAAAAAAATGCACGTCCAAGCGATGCCGAGCGCTCGCTGCCCCCGATGTTCCGCACCGTCGGCCTCCAGAGGCCAGTCTCGGACCCTGGGACTGTCAGGAGCGTGAGTCATGCTCTTGACAGTCCCAGGGTCTGGGACGTCACTGACGTCCCAGACCCTCGGGACGAGAAGCCGGTCCCAAGGGAGAGGGTCGAGAGGCCTGGAGCACCGAGGCCCAAAAAGCTCGCCAGCCCAGAGCGGGCCAGGGGCGCGCCAAAGCCTCGGGCAACAGGCTCGGCGTGCTGCTGGCCCGCGCGCGCGCGTGGCGGCTCCTGGGGGCCTCCCGGGGTGGATACGGCCAGGCCAGGGGCAGAAGCACGTCCTTCGAGAGAGGATGCGGCCCTCCGCCGGCCACACCGAAGAACATTCGAGGGTGCCCTCCCCCAGGGTGCACAAGAGCATCCCACAAGCACGAAGAACATCAGAGGGCACCCTCCCCGAAAACCGGCCTCGAGCTTTTCTGCCTCGGTCCGGCAGCACCCCGGCAGGCGCTGGGTCGGAGCTGCCAGAGCTCCTGGGCGCGGCCCTGGAGGCCCTGAGGCGCCCCAGGAGTGCCCCAAGGAGGCGCCATGCAGGTGGCATGGCCCCACGGCCTCGGGCCAAGGGTGCTCCAAAGCGGCCCAGACTGGCTTCAAGACAGCCTCAGAGGCGCTCCACAGCGGCCTGAGAGGGCTCCAAGAGGAACCCGAGAGGGCTCCAAGAGGCAAACCTCCATGATTTGTCGTAGGTGCTTGAAGGATCTTGCTTCGGGCTTCCAACAGCCCACACCCAAGATCGCCCGAACTCAGCCCAAGCGGCCCCCAGGACGGCCCCAAGACCGCCCAAGAAGGCCTCAAACGGCACAGGAGGCCTCCCAAGAGTGTCGCGGAGGCCCCCAGGCCCCAAGAATGGGAATCCGACCTGTCATGTCGAACCCTTCACAGGAAGGTTGCCCCCGTGACCGCCAGCAGACGCCCAAGAGACACCGAGAGGCCCCTGGAGGCCCAAAAGACGGCCTCAAGATGGCCCCAAGAGGCCCCAGGAGGTCCCAAACATGCCGCCAAGAGGCTCCATCGAAATGCCTCCCAAGAGATCCCAGGAAGCCTCTCAAGGAGGCGTCTTGTCAACGCCTCAGTTTGGCCCCAAGAACGCAACGCCTCGACAAGTCATCGATGGGCCTCATATTACTCCTCCTCCTCCTCCTCCTTCTCCTCCTCCTCCACCTCCTCCTCCTCCTCATTCTCATTCTCGCTCGCCACGGGCACTCCAACAGAAAGCACCAGAATCTCAAAAAACAGCCGTTTCGCGTGACATCATCGACAACTCGGTTTCGGAGGGGATTCTGACTCAAGAGAAGCAATTTTCCTGGGGACATGTTCAGCAAACAAGCCTCGGAGGGGAGTCCGAGTCTCAATAATGACCGTTTCGCTCGAGACATCCTCGACAGTCTGCCTCGGAAGGCGCTTTGAACTTGCACGGATGCGCACGTCGTGACCCACGTGGACCCCGACATACCGTCAGCTGGCCTCAGAGACCGCCTAATCCCCAAGGGCCGCAACTACGCACCACAGAGACGCCGCAAGGATTGGTACCGACCCTCGTCGATAACAGGGGATATGTCGACCCCTATCCCAGGCTTCGTGGGGTTTCCGAATGGACCAGAAATTTGGGGCCTAACCCTGGGATATACGATGGGGGGGTGCCCATCCTCGACAGGGGTGCGTCCGAATAGCCCCCTTGGGGTGTATCCCAGGGTTTTCCCATTCTTCTGAGCGGCCAGACTTTTCGGGCGAAACTCGGGGATTGGGGGAGAAACATCGCCTGCGAACCCTCGTCGAGGCTATACCTCGCACCCACCGGCTGCAAAATCTGAGTGCAAGCGTTCCCCTGGGGGGCCCGCTGGGACTCCCGCTCTGCGGGCTCCATTCGGCGGGCCCCCTGCGGGCCCTGGCCGTGCTGGAAGCTCAGAGAGTAGATGACGAGATAGTCGTCGTCGTCGTCGTCGTCGTCGTCGTCGTCGTCGTCGTCGTCGTCGTCGTCGTCGTCGTCGTCGTCGTTTTCGTCGTCGTCGTCGTTTTCGTCGGCGTCGTCGTTTTCGTCGGCGTCGCCGTCCCCCTTCAGGGCCGGCGGCACCCGCTGCAAGGCCTTACCAACAGGAGCAAAGACAGAGGAGCCCCGCAAGGGGGGGCATGGAGGACATGAGATGGCATGCGTAAGGCATGCTAAGAGGGTCTTCGCCCATGCCGCTGGCCGATGATGTCTCGATGGGGCAAATGTGTTGATCAAGTCTCATGGGCCACGCAGGAATAGGAATGACGTGTGCTCCAGGGGCTGGGCCCATTTGCGTGACGGCTCCTGGGGCGCATACAGTACGAATGATCTGAGCCCTCGGGGTTTCGACAGGGCCGCGACGCGGCCTCGCGCATCCCGACGGCCCATTCTCCCGGGACACGTAACAATCCGCCGACCCTGTCGGCGTGTGGTAAACGCTGCTCTGTTTGACTCGTCGTCGTCGTCGTCGTCGTCGCCGTCGCCGTCACGTTCGTTCCCCGTTTCCCTGGGCGCGGCGCGCTCCCCCCCTCTTTTCGCTGGGCCCCCGTCCCCAAGCGAACCAGCCACAGCGAAACCAAAGGGAAATTCATTAAGCAACGTCGTAGTTGAGTTGAAGGGAATCCCCTTCCCTTTGATCCCTTCCCCCCCAGGGGGGGGATCCCGGAGGGCGTCCTGGGAGGGTCCTGGGGAGGGGTCCCGGGGGAGGTCCTGCCCAAAGACCTCCATGGCTGCCCAAGAGGCCCCCGAAACGGTCCAGGCCCTGGATCGCCGAACAGTCGGTCCAAGACGCCAAAGATGGCCTCCTGACACATAAGATTTTCTCAATGGGTTTTGCAAGACTCTGGCGTTCTCGCCTTTTTGGCTTCCCGACGCCCAAAGACGGCCCAAGATGCCACCCAGATCGGCACAAGTGGCCCCCAAGAGGATTCCAAAGACGGCCCCAAAACAACCCAAGAGCGCCCCAAGACAGCACTAGACACCTCCACACGAGAGCCCGAACGAACATTTCGAGCCCTCCGCCCCCAGAGGCTCCCAGGAGGCCTCAAGAGGCCCACAAGAGGCATCCACGAGGCCCCAACCCCAAGAGGCCCCCAGGAAGCCCGAAGGGACCCCCAAGAGGCTCCCAAGAGGCCCCCAAGATGCTCCCGACAGGCCTCGATACTGCCCCCCAGAGGCCTACGAACGCGCTCCGATGAGGCCCCACGAAGCACCACTGAGGACTCTGCCCCACGTCAACGTCGCCGCCGACGCCGACGCCTCCGTCGTGGTCGTCGTTCCTCTTCAGGGTCGGCGGCACTGGCCGTAAGGCCTTCCCAATACGAGTGAACGTGCCCCCATGGCCTCAAATGGCAGCTTTGCTCGGGAAATCCTCGACAAGTCGGCTTCGCGGGGGCCTCTGAATCTCAAAACTGCTGCTTCGCTCGTGGCATCCTCGACAACGAGTGATCAGCGCACCGAGGGCCATGAAGGGCTCAATTCGACACACCCCTCACGCTCTCAACTGACCCCTCAGAAGGCTCGGGGGAGCTAAAATTCGGCGCACCCCTCAAGCACTTCGACACCCACGGACACACTAGAGACCGTCCGAGCCCCCACGGAACGCCAACATGGCCCCAAGAAGCATTGCAACGATTGGTACCGACCCTCGTCGAGGCAGTATCCCTCACATCCACGGATTGCACAATCTGTCTTCAAGCTTCCCCCGGCGGGTCGGCCGTGACTCCCGCTCTGCGGGCTCGATTCGGCGGGCCTCATGCGGGCCCTCGCGGTGGTAGGCTTCAAGAGAGGATGATGAGAGAATGATGAAATGTTGGAGGCCTGGAGATGGGCACCAACACCAACACAGGGGGGTGCCTCCACAGGAGGACGACGATCCTAGATTTCGGTGTTGGTGGTAATAGTTCGGCCACCTTGGAAGCCAGAATATTACCACCATCACCGAGATCGGGATCTTCTTCCCTCGGTGGAGGCACACCGCCGATCTTGGTGTTGGTGTCAGCCTCTAGACCTGCGAAAATGAAGGACGACGAGATGGCATGCGCAAAGCATGCTAAGAGGGGCTTCGCGCACTCCGCTGGGCAGGGCTGCATCGCAGCTCGCGGGCCACGTACAGGTAAGTGCGATCCGCGCCCCGAGGGCTACGAAACGCTCGTCGCAGCGCACCACTTGCACATTCCCTGCCGGACACTACGCTGGGACGCAAAACAGACCAGTGATCTGCCCTCGCAGGCCACGAAAGCCTTAATTCTGCACACCCCTCATGCATGTTCTGTCTCATACTCCCCTGGGACACCCAAGAGGCTGCCCGACCTCCCACGAAACGCCAACATGGCCCCGATTGGTACCGACCAACGTCGAGGCAATATCCCTAACGCCCAATGGTTGTAAAAACGGCGGATAAGCTCTTGGGGGCCCGCCGTGACTCCCGCTCTGCGGGCACAACATCGAATCGTCAGGAGGTGTGGGGGAAGGCCGCGTGCAGGGCCTCCGAGAAGGCTCACAGGCCACGGGGCTTCTTTAGAGGCCACCGTGGCCTCCAAAGTCGTGCGGGTGGCAATGGGGGGCGACATACATTGGGGGGTGCGGGAAAAGGGCCCCTCTAGGCCCCAGCTCTTCAGCCCCAACTCCGGTCACACCCGACCGGCGCCCGTCCGACAAGAGGCCTTCTCAGAAGTTCCCGGGCCTGTCTGAGGAGACCCCCAACCCTTTAAGGACCTCCCCGCTTTTTGAGAGAAGCCACCCCACTCGCACCTCTCCGCCACCTCGTGCGCGCCGCCAGGCATTTGAGATGGAAGCGGGCGCAGAGAACGTTAACGTGCAGTCGCCACGGAGGGTGGTCGCGATGCCGAGGTCTTCGAGCTCGCAAGCATCTGCAATGACAGATCGAACGTCTGCACGTGGCAACCGTCTGCATACAAGGCGACGCTGCCGTGGCCAATTTAAACCGAGTTCCTCCCGAGGCACCATGACGATACTGGCGCATAGCGTTCGGGACTCGACAAGTACCAAGACGGTTCATATGTCCATCGTGTGGCCACTTCACGCCCACACTTTGGTGGCAAGCAATACTCCCAAATCCAATCAATTCGTGCGCACCGAATTGAACCCTACCTGTACAGACTACGCCGACCACCCTGCCTGCCCCTGTGATTTCCGCCCTTCCCTCAGCACCCCGGTTTCCCTTCCGCAAGGCGGACGAAACTGGGGATAACAAAGGGGGGGTTGGCGGTTGGCGAATCGGCTGCATGCAGCTGCTTTGTCCGGCGCCTCTGGTCGCCGGAGGCAGTCGTATGCCGAGGAGATTGCGTAGCGGTGGAGCCGCAACCAGCTGCACGCAGCTGACTTCGTACCCCCCCCCCGGCCTTTTCCCAACTGCCCCCCCCATTGTCTGGGGCGCGCAAACATGGATGAGCGATCCATGGATGTGGCGCGCGGTCGCGGTCGCCAAGTCCATTCGCTCGGCGGCGGAAATCCGCGATTTCCAATAGAATCGGGACCCGTCAGTTATCCGCGCTCTTTGATCCATGTTTGCGATCGGATGATTTTCCCAACTCCCCCCCCTTGCACGTCCGTCCCGAGCCCCCCAGCACCCTGCCCAGAGGTCGAAAGCCGTGAGCAACCTGAGGGCCCGTTTCCCTTGGGCCCCCCTATTATGTCTGGGGTGGGGGGGTTGGGAACAACAACAACAACAACAACAACAACAACAACAACAACAACAGCAACGACAACAACGACGACGACGACGACGACGACGATAACAACAACAACAACAACAACAACAAGAACAACAACAACCACCACAACAACAACAACAACAACATGACCAAAAACAACAACAATTACAACAACAAGCAGCAGCAACCACAACAACGACAATCAGTTTACCATAACGCGCCATGCTTCCACATGTCACATGCATCCTTCTGGATACCACACCCCATCACGGGGGATTCGTTGGGCGCGCGGGGTCCGATATTCCCTTGCCCAGATATCCCGCCCAAGAAAGCATTGCCACCACCTCTCCCGAGGAACTTCAACGCCCACAGCTCGGACGGCACATGGCCATCGCATTCGCCTTGCGCGCGCCCCGCATCTCGGAGGAGAAAGAGGACGAGGAGGGGAGGGAGAATGAAAGAGAGGAAGAGGGAGAGGAGGAGGAGAGGATGGAGGAGGAGGAGGAGGAGGAGGAGGGGGAGGAAGGAGGAGTAGTTGTAGTACCAGCACATCCGAGGACGAGGTGGCTCTTACTCCGCGTTCGAACTTTCACGCCACCATCCTGCGGCCTCGGCGCGTGACCCTGAAAGATCCTGCCCCCAGGCGCTGCCGATCCCATGCTCGCATCCGCCACCTGCCCCCCCACACCCTCTCAAGGAATCCCTGAAGTCAATCCTTCGACCCCCGATCCTTGGAGCCCCCGGAAGTCATCCGTCCTCCTTCTCCTCCTCCTCCTCCTCCGCGTTCTCTACGATCCCCCAAAAAATATGACTATTCCATACTTAAGGGTCAACAGGGACTCTTGGAAGCTCCCCAGAGGCGATGCCGAAACGAGGGCCCCAGTCTTAAGTAAAAGATGAAGAAATATCCTACGGGAGCGACGAGGGAGGACGGAAGGGGAAGGGAGGAGGGAGGGGGGAGGGCGGAGGCACGAGGGGCGAGGAGGGGAGAGAAAGGGAGGGAGGAGGAAGCGAGAGGGAAGAGGGGGGAGGGAGAAGAGGAAGGGGTGGAGGGAGGGAGAGGAGGAAGAGGAGGGGGGAAGAAGGAGGAGGAAAGAGGAAGTAGAAGAGGAAAAGGAGGAGGAGGAGGAGGAGGAGAGGAAGGAGGGGGGAAGGAGGAGGAGGCGGAGGAGGAGGAGGAGAAGGAGGAGAGGGAGGAAAAGGGGGGAGGGAGGAGGAGGAGGGAGGAAAGGAGGAAGAGGAGGGAAGGGGGACGAGGGAGGAGGAGGAGGAGGAGGAGGAGGAGGAGGAGGACGAGGACGACGAGGAGGAGGAGGAGGAGGAGGAGAAAAGGGCGCCAGCCCAGCGTAAACAGGGAGGAAATCTCGAACGGGAGCGCTGGTTTTGTCGGGACGGGGGCTGTCGGCGGCGAGCAAGAGCACCGCCTTGAGTAAAAAAGCGCGGAAGTCTCGAGCGAACGCGTTGTTGTTGCTGGGGGGCGGCGCCGATGAGATAAAGAGCAGCGCGCCTGTCCAAGGTAAAACGAAAGACGTCTCGAACGGGAGCGCTAGTTTTGTTTAGACGGCTGCTTTCGGCGGCGAGCAAGAGCAAGAGGAGCAAGTCTCGAACGGGAGCGTTGTTGTTGGGGGGCCAGTTTTGGCGCCCCCCCCGAGCCGCTTGAGAGTGAGCCTCATGTTCAATGAAAAATGCAGTTGGCGCCTCGGCGAGAGCGCCAGGGCGCCAGTAAGGGGTCCAACAATAATAACTGTTTAGTAACGTTCAACAACAACAACAACAACCACAACAACAACAACAACGACGACGACAACAACAACAACAACAACGACAACAACAACAACAACAACAACAACAACAACAACAACAACGACAACGACAACGACAACGACAACAACAACAACAACAACAACAACAACATCATCAACATCAACAACAACAACAACGACACCGACAACAACAACAACTCCAACACCAACAACAACAACGACATCGACAACGACAACGGCAGCAACAACAACAACAACACCAACACCAACAAAAACAACAATTCCAACACCAACAACAACAACGACATCGACAACGACAACGACAACGACAACGACAACAACAACAACAATTACTAGCACGTGGGGACACACCGTTCTCACCAGTGCCAGGGTTTTCATAGGAGGCGGGCAATACCCCCACTTTGTGGGGGGGCGGTTCAAGCTCTACCAAATTTCCAAACGACTCTTCGCCACCACCCACACCCAGCTTCCCGCCCTATGACGTTCGGACACTTCACTTCGTGGCATGCGGACGACCGTGGCTACTATTCAGGGCCCCGCGGCCGACGACGACGGCGTGCGCGCGCGAAGAAAAAACGAATGTGTCCCGCATGGTATTATTTGACAGGGATGATGGCCCTGGCAGGTGCGCAACCGTTGTTGCAGAAGTTCGAAAAAGTTGCTCGCAAAAGCCCGTTTGACAGAAATGTTTAAAAAGTGTTGGGTTTCCTACGAATCCGCAAGAGCGCGCGGGATGAAATTTTGACATTTTTTTGAAAAACCATTGGTTTTTTGATGTTTTTATGTTAAAATCGCTACGAAAACTAAGGTTTTGGAAGGATTTCGTCTTGCGCGCGCGAATGTCCACTTTACTTATTTTTTGCAAGGGATTCTTGAAGTTTGGTTATGTTAGAACAAGAAATGTCCACTTTAGCTTTTTTTTGCAAGGGAAAACCGATCGTAACAACACAACCGGATCCGGACCAACCCGTTTTGCCTGAGACTTCCTCGCGAAAATGATGAAAATGAGGCTGCGGCCTAGGCGCGGCGGGGGGGTCGTGCACCAGGGGTCCCAACAATAATTATTCTTTAGAAGTAATAATGTTCAACAACAACAACAACAAGAACAACAACAACAACAACAACAACAACCACAACAACAACAGCAACAACAACAGCAGTAACAACAACAACCACAATAACAACAACGACAACAACAACAACAATTACTAGCACGTGGGGACATACCGTTCTCACCAGTGCCAGGGTTTTCATAGGAGGCGGGCAATACCCCCACTTTGTGGGGGGGGCGGTTCAAGCTCTACCAAATTTCCAAACGACTCTTCGCCACCACCCACACCCAGCTTCCCGCCCTATGACGTTCGGACACTTCACTTCGTGGCATGCGGACGACCGTGGCTACTATTCAGGGCCCCGCGGCCGACGACGACGGCGTGCGCGCGCGAAGAAAAAACGAATGTGTCCCGCATGGTATTATTTGACAGGGATGATGGCCCTGGCAGGTGCGCAACCGTTGTTGCAGAAGTTCGAAAAAGTTGCTCGCAAAAGCCCGTTTGACAGAAATGTTTAAAAAGTGTTGGGTTTCCTACGAATCCGCAAGAGCGCGCGGGATGAGATTTTGAATTTTTTGTTGAAAAACCATTGGTTTTTTGATGTTTTTATGTTAAAATCGCTACGAAAACTAAGGTTTTGGAAGGATTTCGTCTTGCGCGCGCGAATGTCCACTTTACCTTATTTTGTTGCAAGGGATTCTTGAAGTTTGGCTATGTTAGAACAAGAAATGTCATTTTATATTGTTTTTGCAAGGGAAAGCGGATCGTCAACAAAACAACCGGATCCGGACTCCCCCGTTTTGCCTGAGACTTCCTCACGAAAATGATGAAAATGTGGCTGCGGCCTAGGCGCGGCGAGGGGGGCGTGCACCAGGGGGCCCAACAATAATTATTCTTTAGAAGTAATAATATTCAACAACAACAACAACAACAACAACAACAACAACAACAACAATCACTTTACCCGAACGCTCAGTGTTCTCACCAGTGCCAGGGTTTTCATGCGACGCCAGCCAATACCCCCACTTTGTGGGGGGGCAGTGCAAGCTCTACCAAATATCCACACGACTCTTCGCCACCACCCACACCCAGCTTCCCGCCCTATGACGTTCGGACACTTCACTTCGTGGCCTGCGGACGACCGTGGCTACTACACTGGCGTGGAGTACACACCCACAGAAGTTGTTAAGCCTACGTTCGTACACCCACAGAAGTTGTTAAGCCTTGTTAACCCACAGAAGTTGTTCGAGGACCTACGGTGCGATTCGTGTGATTTTATGATGCGCGGTGCTAAAATTCTTAAGAAGCCCAATGGTTTTTGGAGATTTCGGCGTGCGCGCGCGAAGAAAAAACGAATGTGTCCCGCATGGTATTATTTGACAGGGATGATGGCCCTGGCAGGTGCGCAACCGTTGTCGCAGAAGTTCGAAAAAGTTGCTCGCAAAAGCCCGTTTGACAGAAATGTTTAAAAAGTGTTGGGTTTCCTACGAATCCGCAAGAGCGCGCGGGATGAGATTTTGACAATTTTTTGTTGAAAAACCATTGGTTTTTTGATGTTTTTATGTTAAAATCGCTGCGAACACTAAGGTTTTGGAAGGATTTCGTCTTGCGCGCGCGAATGTCCACTTTACCTATTTTTTGCAAGGGATTCTTGAAATTTGATTATATTAGAACAAGAAATGTCATTTTATAGTGTTTTTTGCAAGGGAAAGCGGGGGGGAACAAAACAACCGGATCTTGATCACATCGAATTACCTGAGGCTTCCTCACGAAAATGATGAAAATGTAGCTGCGGCCTAGGCGGCGCAGGGGGGCCGTGCACCAGGGGTCCCAACAATAATTATTCTTTAGAATTAATAATGTTCAACAACAACAACGACAACAATAACCACAACAACAACAACAACAACAACAACAACAACAACAACAACAACAACAACAACAGCATCGCCCACTTCGGCGGCCTGGACGTTCCCAATCCGCCCCAGCCCTCTCGCCTTCCCCGATCCCCTCCCCCCCACACCCCCACCCAAGCACCCTGGCCGCTCTGCACCATCCCCGCCACTGGCCCCACGCTCGAGGCGGGGACTGAAGCGCTGCCTGTGGATTGATCTTCGGGGACCTCGGCAGGCAGCGGGCATGGATAGATTTTGCCCCGCAGGACCCGAACACATCCACACGCGCCGCCTGCCGAGGTCCCCTAAGATCGATCCCCCTGCGGTGGTGATGGATAAATCCCCGCCTCGGACCACGCCCCGGAGCCTCCTTCTCGGAGGAGGGAGAAGACATAATAATGACACGGCAGGTTCGCGCCAGAGCGATTTCGGCGTCGGCTCCTGACACGCCGCGTGGCCTGCTCAACCTCGGACAATCTCGGCTTTCCAGCACGTGGCGCAGATCGTTCGGTGTCGGCCGATTCGAGGCCGCTGGCGGCGTTCAAGCATGAGCGGCCCGTGCTGAAGTCGCCGCCGCGTCGACGAGGTGCCCCCCCTGCCGCACGTCCCAAAATCTCCGGGCCTTCCAGTGGCGCCGCGCGGGCCCCAGATGCGAGGGCCGCGCCAGGCGCTCGGAACTCCTGGAGCGCAGCCGGAGCCCACCGCATCACGGCATCAGGGCACCGCCCTCGTCCTGCGCCCCCGCGCCGCCTCAGGCCCCCCCGGTCGCCACCTCCGAGGGCGTGAAGAACTCGTAGCGGCCGGTGCTGTAGGAGCTCTTCGGGGAGACCCAGGGGCACGGCCTGCCGAGGCCCAGCGCGCGCGAGATCGGCGTCGGCTCCGCGCCGTTGAGCCGGTGCGGCGTGTAGCCGCCGCGCAGCGCCTTGGCGTCGCCGCGCCCCGCGACGGCGATCGGCAGCAGCGGCCGCTGCTGGGCGGCCGGCGCGGTGGCCTCCGCCTGCGCGGCGGCCTGCGCCGTGGCCGCCTGCACCACCGCGGTGAAGAGCGCCCCGTCGCGCGCCGCCGGCGCCCCGCACTGGGGCCGCGCCGTGGCCGCCGCGGCCCGCCACAGCGCCCGGAGCTCGTCGCGCCGGGAGAGCTCGATGGGCTCCTCCTCGGCGGACTCGGAGGCGTCGTCGGCGCGCGCGGGCGAGCGGCTGGGGGAGCGGGCCAGGCGGGCCACCTCGCAGGGGCTGAACGCGATGTCCTCGGCTGCGCCGCAAGGGGGGGGGCCCTGGGCCAGACAGAGTGAACCCAGTGGTGCGAGGCCTCCCATGTGGGGTCCGAGTGGAGGGGGAGGGAGGATCGCGCTGCATCGCCGATGCATTGCCGATGCATCGGCGATGCATCGGTGACATCGGCGATGCATCGGCGCCGCCGGCGTGGAGCAACTCGGGCCCCACAACGAGCCGCATCGCCGATGCGTCGGCGCTGCGGCTCGATCCTGCGACCCCGTCCACCGTGGCCCCATCTGGGAGGACCGGAGCGGTGCGCGGCTTCGGGGAGAGGGGGCGCGCGGAGGCCCCAGCCCCCAGGCGCGCGAGCCGCCAGCGGCCCACCGCGGCGTGGCAGCGGCGGGCGCTGCCGATGCACCAAGTGCAGCGATCGGGGGCCCTCGGCGAAGGGCCGCTCGTGCCGTGGGCCGTGCATCGGGCCCGCCCTGCACCAAATAGGCGGACAACAAAAATACCGATACGGCCGCTACTCGCACAAAAACCCTCTTGGAATGCGCTCTGACCAAGATCTCGAGGCAAATCCAGCCGTGGGGACGCCTGACGATCGGCATCTTGTCTTCCCTCGACCATAGGCCACCCCATCGAAGGGCCGATCGCTCCGCGCAGCCGCTGTCCTCCCAGGCCCCGGCGGCGCGGGTGTGGAGGAACCGGCCGGACCAGCCGCCCCTGTTCAGCGCCGCGAGGATGGGGCGGAACTCGTTCAGCGGCGCGGTGCCGCGCTCCTCCAGGATCAGACAACTGAAGGGGCCCTGAGACACACAAACAAGTGGCACGTGCGCCATGCCTCTTGCACAAAAAGGAAGGGGGAGGAGGAGGATGTGGAGGAGGAGGGGCGGGCGCGAGTTTGCCGTCGGTGCCGAAATAAAGTGGTCGGGGCGGAGGGGGCACTGGGCGGGCGCTGGAGCCGCGCGGGGGCGCTGAGACGGCGCGGGGGAGGAAGCGCTGAGACGGCGCGGGGAAGGAGGCGGAAGCGGAGAGGGGGTGCGGTTGCCGTAAATAAAGTGGTCGGGGCGGAGGGGGCGCTGGGCGGGCGCTGGAGCCGCGGGGGCGCTGAGACGGCGCGGGGGAGGGGGCGGAGCGGGGGGGGGGTGCGGCGCCGAAATAAAGGGGTCGGGGCGGAGGGGGCACTGGGCGAGCGCAGGAGCCGCGCGGGGGCGCTGAGACGGCGCGGGGGAGGGGGCGGAGCGGGGGGGGGGTGCGGTGCCGAAATAAAGTGGTCGGGGCGGAGGGGGCACTGGGCGGGCGCTGAGCGCGGGGGAGGGGGGAGCTAGAGACGGCGCGGGGGGAGGGGGCGGGCGGGGGGGGGGGGTGTGCGGTTGCCGAAATAAAGATGGGAGTCGGGGGCGGAGGGGGCAATGGCGCGGGCGCTGGAGCCGCGTCCGGGCCCGGCGGCTGAGACGGCGCGGGGGAGGGGGCGGAGCGGGGGGGGGGTGCGGTGCCGAAATAAAGCGGTCGGGGCGGAGGGGGCACTGGGCGGGCGCTAGAGCCGCGGGGGGGCGCTGAGACGGCGCGGGGGAGGGCGCGGAGCGGGGAGGGGGGGTGCGGTGCCGAAATAAAGTGGTCCGGGCGGAGGGGGCACTGGGCGGGCGCTGGAAGCCCGCTGGGGCGCGGGCGCTGAGACGGCGCGGGGGAGGGGGCGAGCGGGGGGAGGGGGGGCGGGCCGAAATAAAGGGTCGGGGCGGAGGGGGCACTTGGGCGGGCGCTGGAGCCGCGGGGGGGGGCGCTGAGACGGAGCGGGGGAGGGGGGCGGACGGGGGGGTGTGTGTGGTGCCGAAATAAAGTGGTCGGGGCGGAGGGGGCACTGGGCGGGCGCTGGAGCCGCGGGGGGGCGCTGAGACGGCGCGGGGGAGGGGGCGGAGCGGGGAGGGGGGGCGCGGTGCCGAAATAAAGTGGTCGGGGCGGAGGGGGCACTGGGCGGGCGCTGGAGCCGCGGGGGGGGGCGCTGAGACGGCGCGGGGGAGGGGGCGGAGCGGGGGGGGGGTGCGGTGCCGAAATAAAGCGGTCGGGGCGGAGGGGGCACTGGGCGGGCGCTAGAGCCGCGGGGGGGCGCTGAGACGGCGCGGGGGAGGGCGCGGAGCGGGGAGGGGGGTGCCGGTTGCCGAAATAAAATGGTGGGGGCGGAGGGGGGGCACTGGGCGGGCGCTGGAGCCGAGAGGGGGCTGAGACGGGGGCGCGGGGGAGGGGGCGGGCGGGGGCGGGGGGTCGGGTGCCGAAATAAAGTGGTCGGGAGCGGAGGAGGCCTGGGCGGGAGCTGGGAGCCGGCGGGGGGGGGGGCGCTGAGACGGCGCGTGGGGGAGGGGGCGGAGCGGGGAGGGTGCGTGCCTGCCGAAATAAAGTGGCGGGCGAGGGGGCAATGGCGGGGCTGGAGCCGCGCGGGGGCGCTGAGACGGCGCGGGGGAGGGGGCGGAGCGGGGAGGGGGGGTGCGGTGCCGAAATAAAGTGGTCGTGGCGGAGGGGGCACTGGGCGGGCGCTGGAGCCGCGCGGGGGCGCTGAGACGGCGCGGGGGAGGGGGCGGAGCGGGGAGGGGGGATGCGGTGCCGAAATAAAGTGGTCGGGGCGGAGGAGGCACTGGGCGGGCGCTGGAGCCGCGGGGGGGCGCTGAGACGGCGCGGGGGAGGGGGCGGAGCGGGGGGGGGGTGCGGTGCCGAAATAAAGTGGTCGAGGCGGAGGGGGCACTGGGCGGGCGCTGGAGCCGCGGGGGGGCGCTTAGACGGCGCGGGGGAGGGGGCGGAGCGGGGGGGGGTGCGGTGCCGAAATAAAGTGGTCGGGGCGGAGTGGGCACTGGGCGGGCGCTGGAGCCGCGGGAGGGCGATGAGACGGAGTGGGCGCATGATGATGATGATGTGGATGATGATGATGATGATGATGATGATGGTGATTATGATGGTGATGATGGTGAGGATGATGGTGATGATGATGACGATGATGATGATGATGATTCATGATGATGATGATGATGATGATGATGATGATGATGATGATGATGATGATTATGATGGTGATGATGGTGAGGATGATGGTGAGGATGGTGATGATGATGATGATGATGATGATGATGATGATGATGATGATGATGATGATGATGATGATGATGATGATGATGATGATGATGATGATGATGATGATGATGATGATGATGATGATGAAGGGGGGGGGCGGGGGGCGGTGCCGAAATAAAGTGGTCGGAGCTCCAGACACCCTGTGCAAGAGAATAAATACACACAAATAAACACATTCCCCATATTTCCCCATATTTTCTGGGTTTTTGTCTTCCCCGCCACTTCCCATATTTTCCCATACTTTCCTGCGGATCGACGATTAATTGTGTCTGAGTGTTTCTTCCCCACCTGAACAACACAGAATCGGGAAGCCAGATAGCGTTGCAACGTGCTGCGGATCGGCCTGCATCGGCACGGCATCGAAGCCGAACCGGATCGGCTGCGGCAGGGTTCGAGGAGCACGAAGCTGCAGAAACATAAACTGTCAGAGCTCCGCGCGGATGTCTTCAATAGGCGCTGGCCCCCCTGGCGACGCCGCCCCTGGCGCGTTCCGCGCGCCAGCAAGGGAGGCTCAGCGCCAAGAGGTCCGCGCCGAGTTCCGAAAATACATGCGTTTGCTGTTTTCTCGCTCCTCGAGGGGTGCACGGCAACGCCATGCGAGCATAGGGGCCGAATCGGATCATCCGGCTATCGGAGTCGACGCGGGCCGAGCCGGCTGGAGCTGGCATCGAAACCAAATCGATCGGCCCGAAGTGGGCCCCGTCCTCCCACTTCTGCAGCGCCGCCAGCATGTGCGGCAATATGGAGGAGAGCAGGGAGGCCTGCGGCATGTGCTGCATCTCGTTCACGTAGAGGATGGCCGTGGTGGAATTGGCCTTGGGCACGCGAGACTTGGCGTCGGCAACGTACTCCTGGTGGCTGAAGTGCCCGCGGAAGTTGTCGTCCCCCCCGAGCAAAATGAAGGTGATCGCGTCCCTTGGCCACTGGACGGGCGTGGGCAGCTTCATGGCGCAGCCGCCGTTGATGACTACTGCCGGCGGGACGCGAACGCCCGACGCCCAGAAGTTGGGGAGCACCACCTGGCCACCCCGCGAGCCTGACGGGCACCGGCAAGGGGGGGGATGGAATGTACGGGAGTAGCTGTATGGAATACAGAGAGACACGAAATACAACGGGGGGTGGGTGCACCGAGCTGGGATCGGCGATGCGTCGCCGACAGATCGGCGAGAAAAGCCCCCGATAGCGAAGCCGCAGGATCCTGGGCGGCGTTGGCTGCCAGGCCCCTGACGGCGAACAGTGGGCGATACTGCTCCCCCCGTGAGACTACAGTCATCGGCCTGACCTAAGGAACGATAAATAAGGAACGAAGCCCTTTTTTATCCCAAGGAATAACGCATAAGGAACGATAAGCAATACATAACGCATAAGGAGCTGTAGATAACGCATGGAAGCCTAAGGAACGACCGAGCCCCTTTTGAAAAGTAAGTGTTCCTTATTCAAGCCGCTCACTGTACCCCTGGCCCCAACCTTACCCCTGAGAGCCCACGACCAGCAGGTCGGTCCTGTCGACCGTGCCCTGCGTCAGCACCTCGCGCGCGAAGGACTGCAGGTTGGGCGGGCCAGTGCCGTGGGACCAGTCCTCGGCGCGCGCGCGCCGAGGGGGGCGGGGCGCGAAGGGGGGGCGTCCTGTGAGAAAACGGTGGGCTTCTCAGAGAGGGCGAGTCACGAGAGCAAGCCGAGCCACCACCACCACCACCACCACCACCACCAGAACTTCGTAGAACTCCGCTCCCAGAGGTCCACCCCCCCGGGAGCTGGTGGCACCCCGCTCTGGGCACGCTCTTTGGGGGCGCGCCCGGAACGGGGCGCCACCAGCTCGGGGGAGGGGGGAACGGCCACCCCCCCCCTGGCTGGTGGTGGTGACTCTCTCTCTTCTCAGAGAGGGCCACACCCTGCGAAATGCTTAAGAAATCATGGGTTAAGAAATTCATAGTCTCAGAATTTGAATGAAAACCCAGAACTTCTATCAACATCTTGGGATTCACATGGAAAAGTTAAGAATAATCGAGACTTTGGCCGAAAACTTACGTTTTCTTAAGCGTCGCCTGAGGTGCAGGCCCTTCCGAGAAGGCTCCCCCGAGGGCCGGGAGGGCTTCCGATGGCCGGCGTGCGCAGACCGGCAGGGCACACGCCCCGCTGCGCTCGGGGGCGCCCGTCGCAGTGCGGCTGGAACGTCCATGCAGTCGGTGACTACCTACCAGACCACCCCAACCCAACCCGAAGACCCGAATTTCGGGTTGGGGGGGGTAAGGGTTCCACGTGTGTGTTTTTCGATGTTTCCCGACCCCCCCCCACTGGAAATCGGGGGTGAACCTGAGCCTTCGGGTTGGGTTGGGGTGGCTTGGTGGGTGGTGAGTCGGGGCGTTGACCTAAGGAACCCTAAATAAGGAACGAGGCCCCTTTTTTTTCGCTCAGTTCAACTTCGATTTCCGATCGAAGACGTTAGGGAAACCTGAGGCAAGCTGTGAAACACTTGAGGAACGCGGAGCCCCTCCCCAACGCAGAGGGTTCCTTCTTCAGGGCCCCGACTGTATCCCCACCTGCCACCGCAGGGGCATCAATTTCCCGCTGCCCTGGGACAAGCACCCCCGATCGCAGAAAAAAGCATGAAACATCTCGACCGGATATCAGTCGACACCACCACACCTACGACCCGCTGGGTCGCAGGTGGTTCGTAGGTGGGGTGGTGTCGCCGGTGGGTCGTCGGTGGTCGTAGTTGAGCAAACGCCTCAACTTTCGACATCAGCGGGTCGTAAGCGGGGTGGTGTAGCTTGGTTCCGTTTTTCGCTCGCTGCGGCAAGCGGTGTGCATTCTTAGAAAGCCGCCCCCCCTCCGCAAGGGCTGCCAGCTTCGCGCTTCGCGCTGCGCGAAGCGCGAACAACTTCGCGCTCTCGCGCCGCCCCCAGAGGGGAGAAGAGGAGGACGAGGAGGAGGGGGAGGAGGACTGAGGCCCGCGAAGCGCGAAGCGCGAATCACTTCGCGCCCTCGAGGGCGCCCTGGGCTGTGCGCGCCGCCAGAAAATCCTCCGGGTAGCAGTCGTAGTGCGCGCGGGAGTGGCCGACGATGCCGACGCTGAAGCGGGCGTCGCGGCCCAGCTCCTCGGCCGCGCGCGAAGGAGGGGCCCTGGGCCGGAGGGCCTTCTCGGGAGGCAGGCTCGGGTCGAGACGGCCCGCGCGTGGATCCCCGAAGCCGCTCGGGCCGCTCAGCCTTGAACGATCGGCGGTTCTCGACCGCCAGGTCGTGCCACAGTGGCCGATCCTGGGCCACTGGCAGCG